GTTACGGTTTCGTTTCTTGTTGGGTAGTAAGGTAAAGGTAACCGACTTAGTTGGTTCGTACAGGAAGTAAGGAAGGCGTCAGGGCGGATGTGTGTGTGTGTGTGTGTGTGTGTGTGTGTGTGTGTGTGTGTGTGTGTGTGTGATTGGGTGTCAGAAGGCATTCTCTAACCCCAAATGCAGGATGATGGTCAGTGTCTGTTTCACACCTTGCACCTCCTGACCAGAGGGCTAGAACTGCCCCCGAGGGAACACGACGTAGCCAGGTCTGGAGGTAGGAAGGCTGGGATGTCACTGTGTGCCTGAGTCACAGCACATGACTTTCTGTGAACCAGCACATCCCTGCTGGATCAACAGGGCATCTCGCCCCTGCAATGGGGTCCCAGAGCCCACTAGGGTGAGGGGGTGGATGCATCAGGGAGAAGCTGCCACTGATTGCAGCCCTGAGAACCTGCCCCGAGGGCCTCTGGATAAGACAGAGACCTAGCAAATGCTGGACCACAGCTGCCCCGAGGGAGCCCCCCCACCCCGTGACCCCAAGGTCCTACAAAGTGGCTCAGGCAAAGTCTGGAGAGTGACTAAAGGGCCTGTGGAGAACGCCAGGCTGGGATTTTCTGCCTGCCTTCTATTCGAGGAGCCATGTACCGAAGTGCGGGAGAGTGTAGGCTCGAGTCACCCCTAGGGTCACATCCAGGCTCCAGGGTGACTTCGGGCAAATTTGAACCTGTTTCTAAGTCTACAATGGGCACAGTAGTCCTGCCCTCATGGGGCTCAAGGGGGAGTGAAAGCTTAAAAGGTGTGTAGGACATAGCAAGCACTCAATAAATATAAATAATAGTAGTGGTTATTATTATTATTATTATTATTATTATTATTATTATTATTATTATTATTATCTCGGGGGGGTTGTCTGGCAAGGGAAGAGCACACATTCTTTGGTGCGTACCATTTCCCCTGGATCCTTAGTTTCAAGGGCAACCGACATTTTTCATACAGGATGAAGTCTAAGGACAAACATTACAATCAAGTCCCAGACCTCTTAGCTGCCCCCGTCCTCTGCCTGCCCTGGGCAGTGGTGAGGAAGCCTCCCGGGGTGGTGTGCCCCTGGCTCAACTGTCCGGGGCCAGCCTGGAAACACGCAAGTCCAAGTGGTCCCTCCTCCCCAGAAGTTCTAATAGCTGATGACATGAGTTGGGTGATCTGGGCATCACTTGCCCCCGGCCCCCCAGGCTTGCATTTTTTTATGGGGAGACGTTGTGTAATAGTTCCCTGGGCCCCTACCCGCACCACGCTGCCGTCTAGACTCTGCCTGGCCAGGGCAGCGCTCACCCCTTCCCTACTCAGTTCCTCCCTGGCCCTCCAAAGAAGGGGTGGGGGTGATTTACATAACGTTTGGAAACAGAATTATAGAAGCTTTCTTTAGATGCCAGGGGTCTTTTGAAGGGCACAGAGGCTAAAGAGGAAAAAACAAAAGGAAATATTCTGGGAATTCCCAGTTCTTGGCACCAGTAGGAATCCTAATTTACTAGGAAGTTTTTGTCTGCATCTCAGTTCCCTGCTCCCTTCCCCTCAACCCCCCCACCCCACACACACTTTCCAGAGCTTTGTGAGTAAGTGCCAGGGGCTAATTTGAGCCTGAAACAAGCTCTTAGAGGTCCCACGTGGTATCCTGGGTCCTTCTCTGGAGATAACCTGTGTCGGGCAGGTCCACTCAGATAGGGAGCTCGGTGTGTGCCCACATCTCTCTGGAGGGTGTTGGCAGTCAGAGTCCTCTGGGGACCAGGGACTCCGCTGTGGGCCTTGGCTGTGCCTTGTTCTCACTGGCATTCCTAATGACGGTAAACGGGGCAAGAACAGCAGCTATGTCTTTGGAACATTGTGGGGATTGAGTGAGTACATATACGAAAAAAGTTTAGAGCAGTGCCTGGCAAGTGGGAGCACTCAAATCTTAGCTATTTTCTGTAGCATCCTACTTGTTAAAACTAAACTGCTTCTATTGGGAAAAAAACCAAACAACAAAAAACCATTCTTTCCTATGCCCCGTGGGTCCCTTTTGGTCAAGCAAGCAAATCTTTCCACCTTGTTTTGCAAGGATGCCTTAGTTATTCTTGGTCTGTTACATTTCCTTATAAAATGTGAGATTAACTTTTTAACTGCTACTGAGACAGAGAAAAAAGAGAGGAGGAAGTGTGTGGGAGGAAGGAAGGAAGGAAAGAAGAAAAAGGCGATGGAAACGTTTAATTTGGATCGTACCAAATCTATAAATTGATCTGGGAGGAAATGACACCCTTATTCTGTAGTGTCTTCTAATCAATGAACGTGCTCTATCTTTGTTTCAGGATTTTTTAAACCAGCTCTTAATAATTTAAGATTTAATCGTTCTATCAGTTTTTTCTGTAGTTGTCTTGTGAGTGCTCTGTTTTATTTGCTGCTAGGAAATTGATTTGAAAAAATTCAATTATAAATAGTATAATTATAAAAACCGTTGTCTGCCCATTTCGTGCTGGAATATACAAGTCCAATTTATTTGTGCTTTTTGGTTTCTAATTTTTTATAAATAAACTTTTAATTTTGGATTAATTTTAGATTTACAGAAGCGTTGCAGAGACAGCACAGAGTTGCGATATCCCCCTCGCCCGGTTCTCCCTGGTGCTGACATCTGACGTAACCACAGCACACCCATCAAAACTAAGAAACCAACACTGGGGCATTACTGTTTAAACTCCAGACTTTATTTGGATTTCACCAGTTTTTCCAATAGTGTCCTTTTTTTTTGTTGTTCCAGGATCCAGTCCAGGATACCTCATTGCATTTAGTGTATTTTTATTTTTGAAAACAGCTACCACGCTAAACCCCTATTAATAATAAATAAGAATTATTGTTAGTTGTAATATTTGTATATGTAGATTTCTTAGAAAATTTGATGAAGACAATCGACAAATAATGACAGTTTTTTGTTTCCTCCATCCTGACCCTTGTATTTTTTTTGTATCTTTCTCCTGCTGTGTTATATTAGGCAGAAATTCTAGTACTCTGATTAATAAAAATAATGATGGAGGGGACCCATGTCTTATTCCTGATCTCAAAGAAAAAGCTTTCAACATTTTACCATTAAGACTGATGTTTTTCACAAGGTTTTTTGGCAAAGACTCTGTGTGATCATGGAATTTCCCTTTTGTTCCTAGTTTAAGAAGGAGCATTTCTTTTTTTAATAGCAAATGGAGGTACACACTTAAAATGGTGTACAGGTGTTGAATTTTACCAAACATTTCTTTTCTGCACCCATTGAAATGATCATATGATTTTTCTCCTTTAATCTGTGTATGTAGAATGTTAACACTAATTGATTCTTACAATGTTCAGTCCCATTTACCATCCTGGAATAAACCTGGTCTTATCGCAGGATATATTATCTTTGTTATATATTCCTGGATTCAGTTTGTTAGTGTAATTTTTTGGAATTTTTTTGCGTTTGTGTTCATGTTCATGATTGAGATTGATATGTAACTTTTGTCTTGATATCAACATTTATATACATTGGCTTCATCAAATGAGCTGGGGTGTAGTGTTTTGGTTGGTTTGTTCTCTGTAAGAGTTTGGGTAAGTTGGGAGTTATTTCTTCCTTAGCTATTTCACTCCCATGAGTGTCTACAGCCAAGAAATACAGGATCCTGACTTGAGTGTCTCACCACCATCTTTGTTGCACTGTTTCTCTCCAGGGCCCTGGAGCGCCCCCCATGGGTTACAGTAGCCATTTACCATCATGAGGAGAGCAGGTGGGTGTCTCGCTCTCTCTGGGCTCTATAGCGCTGGAGGCAGTGGGTGGACCACAGATCATTTACACCAGCCTAGGGAGGCTGAGTGGAAAAACAAGTGTTTGTAAGCTTGTGGGAGATGTGATGCTTTGGGGAGGTGCCTCATGGGCTTGCTTTTTGGAGTGGGAGAGGAAATGGGGGATTCCAGAAAGCCAAGTTGCAGAGCCCCAGGCCCTCGGTGCAGCAGGTACATTCACATTGACTCCAAAGCTGTTCATCGGAGGCTTGGCCAGAAGTAGCAGCATCGGTGTAGAAGGGTGGACGACAGTCCTCCTCGCTCTCTAGCCCCATTAGGTAGATTGGTACCACCGCTTTTGTACTGTGAGTACCAATGTCGACACAGCGAAAAAGAGAAATGATATCTTGGAATTACAGTGAATATAGCTGTGACCTGGCAGACCCTCTGAAAGGGACTTCAAGACCCAGAGGTCCACAGACCACACTTGGAGGACTGAAGCCCTCTGACACTGACTCGGCTGCACCTGAGAGTATTTGGTGATTCCCGAGGAATGATCAGCCTCCGAGATGATGACGACGGTGATGCTGCTGCTGTTAATTGAGTGCTGAAGGTGAGCCTGGGCTTTATAATCACGTCCCATGAACTGTCTCTTTTAATTCCCACTATAGTCCTATGAAATTGACTTTATTATTTTCATTTCACAGGTGGGAAAACAGGTTTGCTGTGCCCAAGGCCGTACAGCTCATACACTGGGAGCTGTGAACTCTGTCTCTCTGGGTCTCCTGAACAACCCGTAGGGGAATAAAGGCAGCGGGTTGGTCGAGGGAGAAGTCGTGAATTGTGATGCAGTCACAACAGGAGTCTCCTTCGATCCCATGGGCTTGGGGTGTGGGTGGGGGTTGGACTCTGGACTTGAGATGGCTCTTCTGTGTTATCTTGCTTTGAGCAAGGGGATCATCCCTTCTGCCCTCTCTGCCTGGTCTTTGCGTGCAGACTGCCCTGGGGACTGGGGCATGACCCTGGGTGAGGTGGCTTTCTTGGGTGGAGGGCAATACCTGGGGAGGGACCTGGCTGAGAGCTGTCAGCCACCACCACAGCACCCCCTCTAGGGTCTGAGGCTCAAGATAGTTGAGTACTTTGGCCCAGAGCCTGACTCCCAGTGGAAGGAGAGCTTCACCTCTGGGGCAGAAGGGTAATGGGCGACAAATCTGCCTGAGCACCAGTGAAGCCTAATGGCTGGAATTCATGAAAGAGGTTCCAGTTTCTTTATGGTAGAAGGGGCCTTAAAACCGTCAGACCCAAACTGCCACCCAGTGCCAGAGTCCCTTCAGCATCACCTGAAGGGAGGCCCCTCAGGCTCCATCTGAACTATTGAGTGTGTGGACCTGTTCTGCCATTTGACCTTGGACAAGTCAGTTTCCTCATCTGTGAAAACAGAAACGATAGCGGAGTGAGGGGTATAGCTCAGGGGTAGAGCGTGTGCTTGGCGTGTATGAGGTCCTGGGTTCAATCCCCAGTGCCTCTGTTTAGGAGGAAAAAAAAACAAAAATAAGGTGCTTTAAAAAATTAGAAACAATCATGTAACAACTTGCTATTGCTCTGTCTCAGGGCTGTTGTGAGGTCTGAGGGAGGTAAGGACTGAACGCATTTTGTAAAGGGAGAGCTCACCTGTTTCTGGGCTACACAACGCCAACTGTTAGAACATTCTCCCTTCTATTAAGCAGGAATCTGGGTCTTGTAACTCTTCGCCACTGGTTGGGGCCTGTCTTCCAGTCTGTGCTGTGGTTCTCAGCTTGCGACCCCAGGACTAGCAGCATCAGCGTCCTCTGGCAGTGTGTTGGAAATGCAGATTCCCAGGCCCTGCCCCCAGACTAATGACTCAGACAGTCTGGGGATGGGCTCAGCTGGCTGCACTTTAGCAAGCCCTCCTGGTGCCTCTGAGCCCTGCTGGGCGTGCTGAGTTCTCGGCTCATGCCAGGTCTGCAGCATTAAAGACGGGCAGCGTGTGGTCCAGCGACCAGGAGGTTGGGTGTCACTGCAGTTGTCAAATGACTTTAAAAGCTTCCCAACACTCTCAGTTTCTGTCCTTATCCTGTGGGAGACCATCAGCAAACAGTGCAGAGATGGGCACTGGTCTCTGAACGACAGTGCAGGTGGAGTTGCCCCAGAGCCGTGCCTCTCAGGTTTCACGTGCTCGCAAGTCACCTGGAGATCCTGTTCAGGCGCACGTTTGGATTCGCTGCGTCTTGAAGGGCACTGGGATTCTGTGTCTCTGAGCGCCCAGCGGATGCTGCTTGGACCACTCTTAGAGCAGCAAGCCTCTAGACAGAGCACGTTCCGTCTCTTTTCTCATGAGTGTCTGCCTAAGCGTTTGAAGCTGGCAATGGTGCTCCCATTCACCAGGCTTCTTTGGCATAAATATGATCAACTTCAGGCAGCAGAGTTTCCACCCCCCGTCCCCCAGCCCCACCCCCACTCCTATGCAGGCTGCACCTATGGGTGTTATCCACTCCCCGCCCCCCTGCCCACGCCTCCTGTCTTCTCTTTCCTCTCCGCCTGGCATTTGGCGTTATTTCCTTCAGTATTTCCTAGGCTGACTCAGCTCATGGGGGATTTTCAGATCGCTTCTGCTTCTGGGAAGCTCTTCAGGCCAGAGGAAGGAAATCAGGCCAGAGCTGGACAGAGCAGTGTGTACCTGCCCAACCTGGACTCACGCCCTGGTGAACCTTCTGCTCCCATTGCCCCTCCCCAAGGACTCCTGTCTGCCCATCCAGAGTTGCCTCAGTTCAACACTAGCGACCTCGGCTTTCCTGTCTCCACCCCTTCTTAAAGCACCCGGGGCACTTGAGGGCTGGGAGGATAACACAGAGCAGAGAAGGGGGAAAGTAGCTTTTGTAACTGAGTTGACACTTCTGTGACACTTCACAAGGATCCCCCACCCCCGTCACCCGGAAGCTCTTTCCTCCATCTCTGAGGACTCCCCAGAGCCAATCGCACACCCCAAAGCCAGCCTTCAGCCAAGGCTTTGTTTCAGAAGATCCCTGTAAAATGCCTTTGCTGAGAAGGAGCAGAACTGAGGCCAGTCTCATGCCCGAACATCTCAGCAAGGATTCACATATCAAATTAGAGAGTAGGTTGCTCATCCTCAGGGGCATAAAACGCACAGGTAGATATCTTAAAAAAATAATACACAGCTTTGCAGAGAAAGGAAGCCTCAAAGAGATGAGAAACCCCACTTCCTCACCCTGATCATCGTGTCTGACACATCCACATGTTTTCACAGGGATTTGATCAGCGTGCGTATGTTAAGCTTCTTTCATTTAACTTCTTTAAGTAAATATCTTAGCAGATACATCCTGATGCAGTCCAGTGTTTATGCTGTCGCCTTTTAAAGGATACCTAACCCTCCAAGTAATCCTAGACTAGCATGGCGATTGCAAACTCGGGCCCTATCACTAAACTAGCTGTGTGACATTAAACAAATTCTTAACCTCTCTGAGCCACACCTGTAAAATGAGGATAAAATAGGATCCTACAGCAGAGAAGTTGTGCGAGTATTAAATGAGATGAGGCACATGACGTTGTTAAAACAGCGTCTGGCACGTAGAAAGTACTTCATAAATGTCAGCTGCTGTGATTATAACTGTGCCTGTAAAGTATTTAGATCGTCCTTGATTCCTAAGCATTTTAGGTTATTTGCAATTATTTTTTTTACTATGAAAATGCTGTTACGAACGTTTATCCTTTCTGGCAACCTCTATGGACACCGGCACTGGAAGATTCTAAGATCATGAAGAAGGTGCCGGCCTCTGATGGAGGTGGCAGTTTCACGGTGGAGAGAAACTGGAAAATGAATGTGGCAATAATCCAAGGGCCTAGAGAGGAATGGGGGAGGACAAGTGAGGGGGTGAGAATCAGGAACCGGTCGGTGGAGCAGTTGACATTTGAGAGGAACTTGGGATAGCTTTGAGAGGAAGGTGCTTCTGAGGCTTGTTATTTATTTCCCCTCTGTGTCCGCGGAGCTAGAGCAGCTCCTGGCTTGTCACAGAGCCTCAGTCAATTCACTGTTGGCTGGATGAGTTGCCCGCTTGGTCTCCAGAAGGAGCATCGCCCCAGCAGGGCCACCAGCCTGCCATGGGCTGGCTCTGGGTTCACATCCCAGCCGTGTCCCGATTTGGGTCCAGATGTTTGTGCTGGCCCCACCCAGACCTCTCCCTCCTGACTCATGGGACAGGAAGTTCCTGGCTGCAGGGCATGGCCTCTGAGCTAGGGTCTCTTCCTCCTCCTGTCAGCAGGGAGAGGCCCTCCGTGGAATTCGGGCCACTGGCGGGGGAGGAAATGATGTTATGTTATGAGAAGCTGCACTCTTCGCAGGAGTGTTGAAGGACAAGGGGTGTCTGCTGGGTCTGAGTGCTGGCGGGCTGAACAGTGAGTGAAGGGAGATAATCTGTACACAGGCTACGTCTTAGCATCTCACGTTAGCAGTGGTTCCTCTTTCGTGGGAAAGCGACAAGTCAGGATAAGCAACGAAGAAAGGAAAATGCCAGCCGGCATTCTGGATGGCCCACTTTGCGCCAGGGGCTTTACAGCTGTCGTGTGGGTTTGTCCACACAATGACCCTGTGGGAAGGCAGCCCCGTTCCAAAAGCGAGCAGCAGACTCAGCAAAGCCCATGGCCTGTTGCTCATGAGCCCTCATCATGAACAGTTAGGCGGTGCTTTTTTTTTTTTACTCCCTACATTGCTTCGTCTGGGAATAGGAACTTGACCTAATGGGAGAAATACGAAACACTCCTCTACACTCTGGTTTCGTGGGGTTTGGGTGCAGCTGGTCCCCTGTGACTCAGACTTGACCAATCACAGCCCATGGGCCCAGCCCTTCGGCTTTCACAGGAACTCCAGGGAAAGAGAAGCTCTTCTCTTCCGGCTGCTAGAGTGAAATGCTGAGATACAGGATATAAGCCAAGCCGTTTTGTAGTCAGAGGGGCAGGCTTCCTGGGAATAAAGTTAATTTGGAGGAAAGCAGAATGGAGAGATGGAAAGAAAGAGAAAAATAAGAAATCATCTGGAAACCTAGATCCAACTACGTATCTGTGGGCTCAGTCAGCCTGGAGAGTGACTACCCTTGCAATTTTCATTCAGGTGAACCAATCAATCTTCCTTTTTGCCTAGACATTGAAGCTGACTTCCTGTCACAGCTGAGTGAGCTCCTGTGACTTGTCCCCCCACCTTCCCCACACTCTGCGGGATGGAGTCCTTGGCCCTGAGAAGTCCTCTCAATTTGCTGCCTTGAACAAGGTGGCCTAGTAGGACTGGCAGGCGCACGGGGTGTGCGTGTGGTCCTGCATACTCTGATATCTCTATATACAAATTTGCAGATTTGTTTTTACTTGAGTTTCATTGATTCCACTTAGTGGTGTGCTGGTAAATGTTTAACAAGCAAACAAATAAAAAAAGTCTGCATTGAAGTGTTTGCCAGTTTCTGAGGTGTAAATATTTGCACAACGGCTCAGTTCAGAATATCCGCATGACATCATAAATGCGGAGACAGGAAGAGATGTAAGTACCACACCGTCAGAGATGTCTGTCACACAGATTTAGCAGTAGTAAATCATAGGTCATGATACAGTGTAGTGAATAATTAGGAAGTTACAAGTTCAGATTTTCTGTTACCTTTGTTTTTCACGTACAGACAATCCCCGACGTACGATGGTTCGACTCACCATTTTTCAACTTGATGAATGTGATATGCACTTAATAGAAACTATACTTCGAATTTTGAATTTTGATCTTTTTCTTGGCCAAGAGATGAGCAGTCTGATCTTCTTGCGATGCTGGGCAGGGCAGACACAGCTCCCAGACAGCCACGCAGTCACGAGG